ATGAAATTTCATTTCGCCTGAGCAAAAGACTAGAAACTCTTGTATAAGAGATACATACGTATCAGTGGTCTGTTTTATAAATTATATTCGGCCTACTCGATGTTTAAACTTTACATTTGGAAGCAAAAAGATATTCCGTATATTTCCAACACGCAGGGACTTTTAAACACACACTGCCTGAAGCATTTTTAAAATCTTTTTTGTATGGTTAACCTTTAGCGTTGGCGTCAATATTTTGGCAGTATTTGTTTCCGAAGTAATACGGTAACAGCGGGCAACGATCGTACCATTATATTTCGATAGACATGAGTAGGAACAGGGGAATACCATTTTATTTGCAAAAATCCAAACAAAACAAACGTATCAATAGTCTTTGTTTTAAACAACAGTACTATAATGAAAACGAATTTAGATTCTATAATATTTTTTTAGACTCGGAAAAATAAGCTGAGTTTCACAATTGATTTTAAGCTTTAACCTCTCCCCCCTCCAACTTGGGAAAGATAGGTCAACCGGGCAAATGGGCGGGGTCCATCTTGAGAAGGAACGCCCCCTAAATCAAGGTGCGCTTCCCTAGCGCTTCGCCAGCAAAGGGGGCGCAGCGGGGTACGCGCTGGGATGGTTTGCCAATCCACCGTACGGCGAACAACAAACACACGGACAACAAATCACACTCACTCACACCTTGGGTTTCTAACTTCTACTGAACCTGTGTGCAGAATTTCACAGAACCAAACTCGCTTTGCTTCGCTTTGCTTCGCTTTCAAACTCGGTGGCTGGTAGCACAGTCCGGAGTGGACTACCTGCTGCCCGTCCCGGATCAGGATTCCTGCTGTGCTGGGCGCCTGCCCGCCTTTACCACAGTGTTGTTTGCCCCAGGAGCCGTTTAATGCCCATATGAGTGTGACACAGCAGAAATAGCCCCCAGACCTGTGATTTGGTGCACCAAGACGCCTTTATTAGTCCACAGTACGTTCAGTCACATGTTCATCTGCGATCCCTGCAGCTGTAACAGATATCTGCTGTCTGCTGGAACTAATATTTCTGCAGAACCGAAACGAAGAAAAAGGAGCTTTACATCATGTGCACTTGTGCTGCCAAACCCCACCCAACTGGGGTGAGCCGATCGGGGTCCTCTTGACTGCTTCCACGATCTTCTGACCCCCCTCCAGCTCACCTTACAGTGTCTAAAACTGCAGTCTGGGCTCGTCTGTGAGCTCCGCCAAATTCAAATGGGCTGAGAGTGATCCAGCTATTATATCTCAACATGGGCTATGTTATATAGCGCCTTTTGTAACCAGATACCCCAAAGTGCTTTACTTCTCAAAACACACACCAATCAGCTCTGATAAACAGGGGAGCACAGCTCTACAGTGTTGATTTGAACTCTTTAACATTTTTAAATAAAAAAAA